GCTAGTTAGACTAAACCTGTTGCATCCAGGGGCCTAAACCACCACCCTCTTAGATAAAGCTCAGCCTTATTACAGTCATGCAGTCACTTGTAAGGTTGCCCGGCTCTAGTACAGTGCACCACTGCTCCTAGGAGCTTTGTTAATATAGGTGTGAAAATCAAAGTCTTCAGACAACTTTTGAAGGTTGTATCTCTGAAGACAACCTTTTCGTACTTTCTTACAAGCCCTGAAGAAAGTTGTCGAAGCCATTCAGTTTCAAAGACAGTCTTGATATCTTGCCTCAGGCCATCAATTACACCTTAACATCCAGGTACAGTGAGTTAATAAAATGCAGATCACAGTCAGGCAAGTTGATCTAATATATATTAATTGTATGCTATATGCAAAGCTTTTTATTGCTTTTGAAGAAAAAAAGGACTGAAAATTGAACAGAAAATTGACATTACAAGTTGTTCTTACAATCCATGCATTATATGAAAATCATGTCATAGAATTTCTTTCTGTATGTCAGATTTACTGTCATATGAGAATATAGGTTAGTATCACCCCTTCTGTGATGGTGTCAACAGATGGTGTTCATCCATTGTGGACATCAGCGAGTTGAGGTGTACAAGTTGAAAAAGTATGAATGAGAATGAATATCTTCACCATACAAGAGATGTATTTTACCAGATTCGATTATATCTTTATCAGAAGATGTAATTGTGTATTTTTGATTAAGATGAATTTGAAACTGGTTAAATACATCTCTTGTTTTGTGAATATATTAATTCTTAATCATAACTGCATTTGTCAGTAAGAATATAATTCATGAGGTGTAAATTTGGCTGTGTGCAGGATCAAGACAACTGGATTATCTGGACATGAAATTTGAATGTAATGGTATTTAATTAAGGGGGTGAGGGAGCTTGGATATGCATATGGCTATAAGCTTGATTAACCCCATGAAGCCTAGTGGCATCTATTGGCATAAATCACAAGGTCCACATGCTGAGTGGTAGGTATCCATCCTGTACATGCTGCTTTGTTGTGTATGCAGGAAACAGTACTGTGCTTGATTGTTCTAGTCTGCAATTGTTGTAAAAAAATTGAATGTGACAACCAAATTTGCAGGCAGTTGGGGGAAACATGTAGTTTCCATGCCTTTCATTTTTTTATACAATTGGCTCTACGGTGCCTATGGTAAGGTTTGGTGTCCAAGTCCAACCACAAGCAAACTATAAATTTAAATAAATTGAGAAAATTAAAAGGTTAGTGAATAACTGAATTACTTATTGTAAACAGGGAGGTTTTAAAAAAAAAGGTAGATTAGTTCCAGTTGCAGCAAGCTCAGAATTTTTTTTTTTTAAAGAAATGATTCAGAACCAGCAAATACCCATAAGACTAGACTAGCTTGCTGTTCACAAGTCTGAATTGGATGCAGTGATTTTTCAGCTGAAATAACTTTATTTTTCCCTCATACACAAGTTCTTGAATTCAGATAATGAAAATAGTTTAATAATAGGTCTATGTAAGTAAATGTGTAATCAGTCATAAAGAGATGGTCTTCTCATTTGTATTCATGTTAAATGTGTTCTAATATATGACATTTCTTTTCCCAGGATGATGAGTACAGATTATTCATGTGCAACAACAACTGGTACCTGTTCCTCCGTTTACACCAAATTCTCTGCTGCCGTCTTACCACCATGTACGAACATGCAGTGCGAATAGCTGCTGAAGAAGCTAAGGATCGGAAAGACCGTAAAGAAGCTACTGCTGTTGCCCTCAGACTCAAACCCAAAAGTAAGTCGTGGTCGGCACATTTGGTTTGTGCGGAAATGTACTCTGATTTTTCTTTTTCCTTGTCTGGCCTTCTCTTGTCTTGTCCTTTCATTTTTTTTTTCTTGTCTTTTCTTGTGTTTGTCTTTTAGACACCATCTTCTAAAGCATAGAAATTAGTTGAGCAGATACATGTCTGTGTGTAAATATTCATCCATTTGTTCCTTATTATTTTATTCTGTTTATTTATTATGTATTAATTTGTTCCAGATGAGATTGCTGTTGAAGATTACTACCCCGCCTTACTGGACATGATCAAGAATGTCCTGGATGGTAATTTGGAACCAACAGCGTACGAGGATACTTTGAGGGAGATGTTCGGAATCCATGCGTACACAGGCTTCACCATGGATAAAGTTAGTGTCTTATTCTGTTTTTTTCTCTCATTTAGCAATTTTACTGTTTCTTGAAGTGAAGTGTGACAGTGTTATTGATGTGGTTGTTTATTCAGAATGAGGACATTATATTTTCCCTGTACATGATTTGAAGGCGGCTTCAAAAGAAAAAAGGCTTTGGTTCCAAATTTGGATTAATTATTGTTATTATTGCTGTTGTTGCGGTGGTTATGATGAGGATTGGTGATTGGTGACCATGATGATGATACCATTAAATCAAAGCCAAATTAACTTGAACCAATGAATTCACTGTGTTTAGTATATCCCTTCTTGCAACAAATTTAATTTAGGGACCGCATAACTGTTCCAGACAGTTGATTTGTCTCCCTTGTCACCACCTCAGTGTTAAGTCTTACCCAGCATGATATGCATTTTACGTTTAGATGATTTTGGTGAGTAAAGGCTGTGCATGGGACCACCTGTTTTCCAGGCATTTAGCTAAATGTTTTGGGTCAGAAATATTGTGTCCTCTTCATCTTGGAATTAATCTCTACTGCTTTTAAAAATGCCCCAGAAAATGTTACTAGGTATGCACTCACCCATATAATTCCTCAAGAAAACATTATTTACGACCAAACTTTTTCTATTAATATGCTCAGTTAGTATGAGTAATCTGTTTCCCTTGAATAGCTAGCAATTGCCTATTGAACTTATTATTATTTTATTATATTATTATTATTTTTTAATGAATACTGGCCCTTGAGTCATTAAAAAAATTTCTTCATGTGTATTTATATACAACATAAAGTTTTCATTTATAGATTTGACTATTTTGGGTGATAATTTCTTTTGTAGTGTTACTCCCAGGTTTAAAAAAAGTCAATAGTAACAGCTGGACTCAAATTTCAATTTTATATTGTATGGAATTTGAAAAAGAGAAGAAATAAAGATGGTGTACAGCTGACTCAAGGCAGGCTGTGCTCTGTTCAGCTGTGCTCTCTCATCTTTTTGTAGGTTATTAGAATTTTTGAAAAAAAGGAGAGGAAAATTGAAGACGACTTATCACATTTTACTTTCTTACTTTTCAGGTGGTTACTAGTGCTGTAAGGCAGTTACAACACCTGGTGTGTGATGACCCCCCAGTCCAGTGCACCGCCATGTACCTGAGCGAGGCAAAGAAAGGTGCTGCTGGCGGACCTTTAGCCTCTGCACACAGACGGCTGGCAGCAGAACAGGCCTATCAGAAGAAGTCGGAGCGCTTATTACAAGATGAGAACTGCTTCAAAATTTACACTGTAATTATTTATAATTTTATGTTATTCATTCAAAACTTGTGTGGGGATAGTGTCTGGATGAAAATATTTTTGTGGTAGATGCATAAGGTGTGCAAATTTTTATTCCTACATTCATATTTAATTTTTCCAGTCTTTCTTCAGTGAGAATTAATTTATTTCTCTGATATTATAATTTGCGTTTATCTACCAGCAACTTCTGAATCTATTCCTTTCCACAGTACAAAAGAAATTGTAGAATGACAATAGAATTGATAGACACGGAGATTGAAGAAGAGAATGACAGTGGAGGCAGTGCAGGCTCAGCAGTTAGTCATAACACCACAGTTCCTTCCTCTGCACACTCTGCAATTCCACCTGCCGTTGCCGAAGTGGAAAGATGGAGTGCTTATGTTGAAAAATATGTTTCTTCCGTCGCACCTCAGGTTAGTATGTCTGTTTTGCTGTGAGCTGAAGATGAAGTTTGAGAAATCCATTTTATTTTTATGATGGAAATTCCAGTATAGGTATTTGTGATATGATACATTGGTTTCTTTTTCCAGATGTCTCCTGCCATGCAGGCCCAGCTGTCCAGAAAACCAGTATTTCTCCCACGTAATCTTCGATCTTGGAGAAAACTGACAGCTGCAAGACAGACCAATCAGGAAGTCGAAAAGTAGGTTTACCTCTTCATGGAAAACTAGTAGAAAGCATTTTTTTTTTTTTTTTTTTTTTTTTTTTTCCTTCTTTTCCATAATGATGATGACATCTATAGGACAATGGATCTAGTTCAGTCAGTTTATTTTCAGTCTTCTGTCACTAGTATGGTATGAAAACTGCCATTTATATTATCTGGGTGTGATTCATATCACTCAAAATACGAAGGAAATTAAATGTTGGAACATGTTTTGCAGGGATAGCTGTGCTGAAGATGTAAAGCCTCCTGTGTGCCCTGATATGGATATTGTGGACAACACTCAGTGCAAGTTCAACCTCTCCTCCTTCAAAATGGTATTTGTAGTGAACAGTGATTCCTACATGTACAAGAAGCAAGCACTCAAGAGAGCAAAACAGGTAAGTTCTTTTTACTTTATAGCTATTTTTTCTTTTATGATATAACTGTTGCTCTAAAATTCAATCTCCTTTTTTTGTTATTATGCATTAACTCTCTAATATATATTGTGTGTTTTACAAATTTCAGAGTCATGAACATGTTAGTCGAAGGATGCGCAGTGGCCTTGTTTCCTGGCACAGTGATTGGTGCACAAGACACGTATCAGAAGCAGATCAACGAGCTGCTACTGACTGGTTCCTGGGGCACACAGATGGGTTGCGGCCAAATTGCACGAGAGTAGTGCGCATTGACGATCCTTCCCGACCCCCATTTGCACCCTACAACAAGTACAAGTGTGAACTGGAAGAAAGTGGTGGGTCATAACATGTGGTGTTCACCTCACCGCCTCACTCAGCCATTGTCAGACTGATTAAAAGGGCGGGCAGAATGAGTGTCAGTGGAGGATCAAAATCCCACACTGTGAGCTGTGACTTTTAACTTTGCTCTAAGAGCAAGAGTGTGTGGACGTCACCTCAAAGTACAAGATTGTAGCAGGGATGGTGGTGTGGACCGCAAGTCGCAGCGCGGAGGCAAGGAGTGGTGTTGGGGTGGGAAGAGACAGATTGAATAATACACTGTCTCAGGTTGCAATGAAGTGTTGAGCATGTGTTCTGTATATTATGCATCATAATGCATCAGTTAATATGAGTGATTCCTGTGGAAGTTGCAAGACTGGAGAAGACCAAAACATTTCGAGTTACTGATGCAGAAAAAAATAAAAAATAAAAAATAAAAGAAAAAAATCAATTGATGTGCCTCACGAATGCCTGTCAGTACAATGTAGTATTAAAATGTAAATGCGAGCTGCAGCATTGAAGCATCCCAGTGACAAGAATCTGCCCTCGAGGGACTGCCCCATTCACCATCCGTTGCACTGCATGGTCTCCACAGCACAAACTTGCTACTAAATTTTGCAACAACTCCTTTCTAATGTACTGTTGCTGGGACCGAGAGAGTGGACTCCTGAGTGAGCCAGTTGTACAAGTGAATGATAATTATAATTTATAGTTGTACAGATGATCTGATAATGTTTTTGTTAATAATGATGTTTCCTTGTATAAGACGGGATTGAGGGGAGATGTGGGTGGCAGTGGCAAATTGTTGTGGGCTCTTCACAGGCCAAATGATTTTCCTTGATGAATAGGAAACAATTATTAATTGGTTATTTATTACCAGATATATATATATATACAGTGTATATATATAAATATATATGTAATCAGGGATATGAATTATCAGTGGCTTCTTGGCAGCCATAGTAATTCAATGAGATCAAGTCAAGAGGCAAGAAGTTATACATAAATGTGTAAAGTATTTTATAAGTATTCTACAGCTTCCTTCCCACACCACACACAACTAAAATTACAGAACACATATACACAAGCATATTTTCATATTCTACGGTTCTAAACAGTATTCGGAAACTTTTATTTTCTTTGTCTTTTTTTCACCCACTTTCTCCCACCCCCCCCAAAAATACATAAAGTAGAGTCCTATTATAGTTTTAGGTCACCATGAACCCCTCATCTCCTCTCGAACTCTGGACGTCTCAAAAAACTGCCGCGGCCTATGACACTGTTTAGCTTTAAGAAGTCGAGCCGGCGCGGGTGTGCGTACTGCCAGATTTTGTCTGAAAGAGGGTATCCTGTTGCCAAGGATGGGGCATTGCAACACAAAATACACACAAAATTTAAATGGGTTTCATCTGGAGGCACTGCTGAAACCACTGCCAGGTAGGGTGGTGCAAGGGCAATCCGAGAGGTTGTGAAAAGTGGTGTCTGGCAGCTGAGGAAAGAGCCAGAGGAACCACATCTGAATTTGTTAAAATTGGAGTCTAATTCTAATTTGAATACATTTGGATTAATTTTTTTAATAATGTTTGTGTCAGTTGTACAGTCATTACATTTGTGTTGTGAACATGTTCCTGCACCAAAATAGACTGTATGATTTTCTCTTACTTAAATAATGGTGAGAGCCAGTCATTTAATATATATTTTCTGCATTTTTAACATGCAATTCCATTTCCTCTATTGTAATATTCAAGGACGAGCATTTACTGCTTTTCACTCCAAACATGCCATGTTGAATATTGTGCCACGGGAAGAGGATACTGTCCAGAATATCTCCTTTAATCAACACATGTCAAATTATTTTTTGTAGTACAAGTATAGAAGGAAATACAGCACACCTAAGTTGGTGACTTCCGTGTATTTAGAGAAATATTTCTTTTCTATCCCTCGTGTCAATCACAGAAAGTGTTTGTAATAGACATATTGAAAACAATAAATCTTTTTACATTCTATTGAAACAGACATGTAATTTCATTTGACCTGAATAGTAGAATGACCTAAATATGCTTTCATTTGAAGATAGATTTTGTCAACACGATTTGTATATATTAAGTTCCTTAAGCCTGTTTCCTTGCTCCTCGCGCATGCCTGCCTATGTGGACGGGCCTTCAGAGTTATTCAGGTGTCTTATCTGCAAATGAAATCTATCTAGTTATCTGGTATACCCTTGATCTCAAAGTGTTCCTTCAGGCCACTGGGCCATAGCTTGTGGGTTATGATTTTGATGGTCTTCAGGGCATTCATTGTATTTGGTAAATGAGCAAAATTGGTTCACATATTTTTATATTTATTTCAAACAGTACAGGCATGAAAATGATCCATTTTTCATTAACTTTATTGTATTATTCCTATGTAAAAAAAATAAGATAGCAAACTGAACAAGAGTACATTCAAAAGTCTCTTAAGAGTTCAAGATTCACAATACTAGGGTCTTAAGCTAGCGAAATATAATCCAGTTTCTGTTGCTTGAAATGGACTTCAAACAAAAATATTCGTAGTAACTTAAAATTACTAAAAATGACACGGTAGACGAATCTTCAAACAGGGCTTGTGGTCGACGGCCTGAAACGAGTCGAGAGCCACTGACTTCGGGCAAGCTGGACGTCAGCCGAGAGCCACTGACTTCGGGCAAGCTGGACGTCAGCCGAAAGCCACTGACTTCGGGCAAACGACGTCAGTGTTACCACAAGTAGATTTAAGGCTGTGTATATGGCAACTATGAATACCTACCTGTTACGGCCATTTAGCGAAGGTAGACGGTTTATCGGGGCATTTTCAAGGCCTATGGGTTTGTTGATTGCAAAATGATTAAATGGCCAGCAATTAAACCTATGCGAATCAACCAGACTACAATGAGTTATCTACACGATGAAATATGAAAGTAGTAAACTATACATGACCATTTACATATTAACAGTTTCAGTTCCTGGAAACTGCTAAGCAACGATTCCAAGGCTGATGTCAACTGAAGTTCTTTGAATGTAAACCACCGGTATGACACATTGTGCATTTTTATCAGTATAAATGTACAGATTCAAATGTCACGATTTATACCCGTTAATACCAGACAATAATGTGGCAATTGTCAATTTTGGCGAAGGATACCTGATCAGGATGAACTATCCCAGAAACGAACGTATCGTAATATATTTTCATTTGAAGGAACGATTCATCAGGGTCGGTTTTTGGAAACGCTTCGATGTCACGCACGAGACTCAGTTCGGTCATTCAGCTTTTGGGGCTGTTGCCTCGTTAAGCCCAAAGGTGTAAGGGCTGGGTTTGGCATTCCCTTCAGTGCGGGCACAGGGGGCTTCACCTGAATAGATGGCGCTGCAGTTTCCTTCGGAGGTGCAGTATTGTTTTTCTCGTTTGCGAGACCACGGGTCTCTATAATTAACAAATGCGGGTTTTCAACAGACTCTGGCGTCCAGGGTTTACCCGCTAGGAGTAATGTACTATTTTTCGTGTAGCTGGTGGCAGTCCCATTGAACTCGGGACCTGGATCCCGAAATACTGGAGCAGACGCAGGAACACCGAATCCTTTGCCGGGTGTCCGAAACGGGGCGACTGGAGTGAGAATGCGATTCTTGAACCACGGATGGGAAGTGAGGCCCTGGATCCCCGCATCAGGCGCCGGACCCGGGAACCGCACTGTCGTGGACCTTCGGGCGGCCCTCACCGGCAGCCTCTCGGAGCCAGCGCGGACCCTTCTGCGGGAGGCGTCGCGGGGGGGAGGGGGCGGGACGACGGCCGAGACGTTGAAGCCATTTTCATGAAACCATCGGGGAGAAGGTCCGGGGTCGTCGAGATAAGAGTAATGAAACCGACCTGATGGGACGAACAAGAAAGTCGACAAAGTATAATCTTCTGGGTATCTGAATATAATTGAAGTTATTGGGTTATCTTTGATAAAAACCTATTGTCTAACGAACGCATTTGATCAAATACGGATAAAAAAGTAAAAGTCTTACCGGTTCGTTGACATCTATACAGTCGGTTTAACTTGTTGTAGTCACTCTGAAAAGGCAACGATCATTAGTGAAAACTACTGTAAAACAAACGTTCTATAAACACTTATTTAGACGTTAAACTCAAGATGAACACACAGTAGTCTACATACTGTGGTAGGTTTCTTAGCCCTTTTGAAGCGCGCCCCTTTAGCTCTGGACTTGATGGTTGGGGCCAAGAAGTACCACTTGGAGAAAGCGTACGGGTTGTAGTGCATCACCGAATCTGAAAAAGGATTTATCCGTTAAAAATTGCATGCATAAATACAATACGCTAAAGCTTTTTTGATTACAAATATAGATGCGCGCATAATCAAACAGATATACATATATTTATATAACAGGCAGGAAGTTCTAGTAAGCAGACTTCATTTCAGTAAAGGTCTAATTAATTCTAAACTAGGAAATAGGCGGAATGGGATAAGTCTACCAAATTCTGACATGACTTGAGGCGTCATCTGATCCGTATTGCTTTGCAGTTTAATCGACGTAAATTTTATTTCACGAAAGAGAAACCACCTTCCATCACACAAATAGTACCTTTGTTTAAATCCATTAAAGCATTAAAAGAACCATAAAATCAGTTGGTTCTATTAGTAGTGTGGGCGTTGATATCATCTCTTATTCCCAAATAAGTATGTTCGGCGCGCCAAATAGGGAAAAATATGTACTCATTCAAATTTCACTCATGCATATCATTCATGTAGTACGTCAGACCGCTTCTTGTTGCATTTAGGGAAAACTGGAAAGACATCTATTCATTCTTTTTTTCTCGGATGAACTGAAAACTTCAAATTGAATTTTCTCAATTTCAGATTGTCCTACCAACACTCATTTTGTATTTTCTTTTTGAAAGAGTAATTCAAGACATCTGACCAATGAGATCGGCTTTATTGATTTACACACACACACCCACATATATATCGCTTCCAACCACGGCGAGTCTCCAGGCGACAAGACAAGAGCTGTCCAAACCATGACCTCCTAGGTCATGGGCCTCCTCCACCTAGGATTGTCTCGCAGAGAGACAATCTGATGGGCAGAGTCACCCATAGGGAAACGATCTAAGTGCCCATATAGCTTAATTGGTGGTCCCAGATCA